TGACTTGTATAATAGCTTTCCAGTAATCTCAAATCTCTCACTTCTGTGGTCAGTATGATGACTGTCATTTGTATCTAGCAGTACATGGGTTTGTCCTCCTGGCTTCAGAGCTGCCAGAGCCTGCATTACAACCCATGACCTTTCCCTGGAAAAAGGTAAAAGTGTGATAAATTACCATCTCAGACAGTTGCTAGACATCACTGGCTACAGGAGAGAAAAAGCTTTACTGCTACCTAAGAGTTAATTTCACTAATGAGTAAAGAGGACAAAGGAGTGGCAAGGGATAAGCATTGTTTTGCATACTGGGTGCATAAAAGCCCCGCCACAGGACAGGAATAGTCTTCTCTGCACAATTCCTCAACTGGACTGCATCTTCGCAGCCTTCCCCTCAGAGAACCACAAGAAGACTTCTGAGTGTGTAAAGGGTCTCTTCTCCCTCAGGCACAAACTCCACCAAAAAACTCATGACTCGCTGGGCAATTTTTTTCCCCACCCTGAATGCTATCTGCAAGCCTGTCAGCACTAAGTGCTCCAATACTACTAAAACTATAAGCTCACGTGACAACTGACAACATGGCCTTGAGAAAGCCGAAACAGACAAATGGGCTTTCAGAGGCATCACAACATAGCTATGATTGTACATCTCAAGAAAAGCAGAATAGGTCTCGAGAGAGGCAGAGATATTCTTAAATGATGTCTGGAACAGGACTCAGGACATATTGGTTCACCCTTGGAATGATTAAAATATTGCAAGACTTTCCAACTTGCAAATAAATGATTTGATACTGAGGTACTAAAAACCAGCTGGAGCACTGTCAGCCTCAACTGGCCTCCAGCTTCTGAAGGCAAAACACCAGGCTCTTCCAGCACACAACAATATCAAGTACAGCTGTTTGGAACTGAACTAGTCAAACACTGCATGCCTACAGGTGTGCTGTTCTCCCTTACTCAAGTTAGCTCTCTCAGGGCTCTTGAATTTGTCATGTTTACATATCCCCAAGTCTTCGTCACTTTATAGGACTTCCAGTTAAACATTTTTTTTAATCTGCTTTTCCTGTATCATAGTAGTCATTGAACTGATTTTTGACAGAGTATTGATTGAAGAATTGATTCTTGGATTAGGAATTATGGATTAGGAAAATAGAGCATGATGAAAGCTAATTGAAATAATCCATATTTGGTTAATTCCACTACCTACTCACCCATGCCCTCTTCTAGAACTGGTTTTTTTTTTACAATAACCATGGATAACTGTTGATATGGTATTATCTGTAGCATTTTAGATGATTCCTTGGGGACCTCAAATGACTTTATATCATCTCATTTTAATTATGCATGCACAGTATAATGTAGGGATTCGGAGATAAGAAAACATGAGGCCTTGGGACACTTTATTACATAAGAAATAGCAAACACTGATTCATTTATTACCTAAACAAGAACACTGAAAATAAATAACATGGTAAAAATTTGTGCCCAAGTATGACTGGTCATTGGATCTATCTGTTCACATTCCCTTGACTGTTCACACCCAGACTTTCCCAGCTCTGGATCCTCACAGGGCTCTGACCTTTGATCAAGAATAGTGAAGAAAGGCACAGAACAAAAATATCTGTGCTTTCTAGAGAGTCTAGTAGGATGCTATATATACAGCTATATATGCTGTAGATTGAATGACTTCTGCAGTTAAAACTTCCTTCATAACAATTTTGTATCTTTGCATGCAAAGTAGAATAACCTTGACAATCATAGGGAACTCTAGAACATCCTTTTTTTTCTGCACACAGTTCCATGCACATAGCAGGAGAAGACCTCCTCTTACCCAATCCTGTCAGTCAGGAAACAGGCCACAGTAGCAGATGCTGATTTAACAAGAAAAGAAACTGAAATCATGTTTTACAAGTATGTGTAGCAGTGAACAAGGGAGATCTGAGGACCTGGGGTTATGTTGCTATTTCTTAATTAAACATTGGTCCTTGTTACTCTCACTGGGTATGTTCACTGAAGACAGTTGAACGCTGTTTTCTGAAACTGAAGTACTTTGTTCTGATTTCACACTACCTGTAAGTGCTAGACAATCAAATCTAGAAAGCCACAGATGTATCATTCAGGAAAACCTGATATTTGCTACATACTGCACATGAAGGAGAAGTCAAACCCTCAGAGATGGCCACAGCACAGAGGAGTGTCACTAAGGCTGAACACCTCTCTCCATTTAAAAGACTATACAAACCATTCAAAAATCCATATTCACTGTTTATGTTGCAATCTGCTGAGCCTCCAGTGTACATTCAGAGGTAAAGTCATTTGAGAAAAATAAGTTAATCCTTGCAATTTTCTCATTAAAAATTTTTAAAGGTATTGGAAAAATTGCCTAATTAGTTCAACTATTATAAAGAAAAAATGCATCTTTAGTCTTTCTCAAACATGCTTCCAACATGTGCAGCCTCAGTGCCCCACTGTGGAAACAGTATTTCCAAAAATAAGGACAGATCTAAATCCATGTTGATACCAGTTAAGATCAGCTGAGAAGAACTGAAGTGCATTACAACTTGAATTTTTTTGAAAAGCTGTGTTTCAGGTAGTCTGTTGCTAGAGAAACAGGAGAGGTCAAGACAACAATACCCACAGCCACTGAAGTTAAATTACCATCCTAACACCAGCTGACTCTAGGGAAAAGAGAGACCAAGGACCACACAGAACCTCCTTCCATAGTGAGAGGCAGAAATTTTGCCCTCAGAATTTCTTCCTTAGGCATAATGTCTCATAGTGCTTTAACATCCAGAGGCAGGTATGGATTTTATTTCAAAAGCATAGCTTTGGAAGCAGTTGTTAATTAAAACAACGAAAGATGAAAGTAAGCAGCTGGAAAGGTACAACACGACTGACAAAGGTTCACAGTCGTTCTTAGCAATGAAATGAAATGCAGTGACAGGAAAGTATGTGGCACCCTCCATTGCCAAAGGCATGTCTGGCCTCTGAACATGCAGTGTACACACAGTTTCAGACTCCTACAGGTTTTTTTCTTATAATATCATAGACAGAGGGATAACTTCAGCTAGTTCCCTCTCCATCTTCATTTTCTGAAAATAGTTCCACCTGTTAAACCACAGAACTTAAGGAACTCAAGGGTTACGGTCCAGGACAACCCCCTAAAGGTAGGACAGAAATGAAGCATCAATAATCTGAGGTGACAGCTACTCAATTTTCTTTCTCCAAGTTATGTCTAAATCCTAACTGGTATCTCTATCCTTGTTATACTAGTTTCACAGGAATCAAACCATTTACCCCATACACACAGAGCTTCATGTACTGAATAGATGATATTTTTTACATCAGGAAGAGTAGGAAAACCAGTGCTTTTTAACATCTATAAATGTTAAATCTGATGTTTCTAAGGTGCATCACCAAAGATTTATTCCTATAAAGTTTTTACAAAGACTGTATAGACCATAATCCACACAAGGGGTTAACCACAGGGTTAATTAATATTCTGAAACAAAGAATGGTATGGCAATGTGACAAAATGTGTTACTGTATCTAAATTTCATTTTTCAAATGGAGACTACAGACACCCATGAGATTTCTGCCCAGTTGAAGAAACAAGAGAGACGCTCTGACACACAAAGGCACAGATAGTAACAGAAATGCAAAGCACTATTACACTGACTCAGCTGACTGTACATACAGCTGAGAATTACACATGGCTTTTAAGTCAAACAGGTGACAATATAATTATTATATTTTCAAATCATCTTAAGCACACACCAAAACAAATGTGATTGTCAAGTGAACAGAGTAGAGCTAAAAAAAGGCAAAACAAAAATCCATCAAAAAGTAAACTAGCTATTGATGCTGCATGACTGTCCTGTCAAATGCTAATGAACTTTTGTCTTCCTGAATTTCACCAATCATTTCAATTCAAGAAAAAAAATTAAGTCCAGTCAATTTAGAGCATCATCTTGAATCTGACCCTCTGCTTTATGTGATGAAGGAAATTCTCACAGGTGAGTTACATGGCTATGTTTCACTTGCTCATTTCAGGAGCGTTTCTTATTCTTTGTGTAAGAGACATGGGCAGAGACAAATCAAAGCTTCCAAATAGCAACATTGGGAAACTATTAAGCCTATCAGATACAAAAATGTGTCATATCAATGATGTGTCATATTAATGATGTGTCAGATTATTTCTCCTTTTTAAGGTTTCAACAGTACTAGTTTTAACAAAAGACTGTAACCCATTTTTCATACACCAATTTGATTTTAAAAAATCATTTGAAATGTTCCAGCAAAGACTAAAACATACTGACAGCACAATACACTTCAGTGAGCCAATTCTAGGTGCTTTGCATTTCAATAAATCTTCTCCTAGGAGGATATCCAAGTACTTTAAAAAAAACCCAATTATTAAAACTCTTGAATGAGAAAGGTCTATAAAAGTTTACAGTCTGACTCATAAAAAAAGCAAAATGTTCATCCAAGGACAAAGAGTAACAAATAATGAAAATCCATTGACTTCTTGGTTTACAGAATGTTCACGCAGCTGAACAGTTTCAGTATTTCATCCAAGATGAACAGCTATAATGTGAATGGCATGTTCCAGCTGTTCTGTACAAACTATTATCTCACTATTCTGCAGAATGCAAGCTGTTCCTGAAACTTCAGTAAGAGAGCAGTGACAATGGAATCACCCATATTTATGGAGTGACTTGGCATGAGAATTTTCAGCGCTTGGGGAAAACATCAGTGAAGAACTCAAAGCAACAAATGCTGAGAGCACTCCACTCTTCTGCAGCAGGCAGGTTTGTGGCCTGCTGACTAACAACGTGGTAAAGCATACATACAGTGCTGCACAGCTAGTGCAGAGGTCAAAAGAGCTCTTACCTTTCTACATTTTCCCCCCACATACATTTCTCGAAAAATGCCCAGAGCAACAGAATATTTTGAACTCGTTAACAATGAACATTAAATGCACAAACAAACAAACAAACAAAAAATACCTGGTGAGCTCTTCTTTAATCTTCAGTGGTTCATGTGGGTAAAACTTCACTCTAAAGCACATGGTATATGGTGGATGAGCTGAAACATTATAAAGAAAAGCAATGAGAACAGTAGCAAACAGCCATTGCCTCAGCCACTCTGAAGGAATGACTTCCAAGAGTCTTACAAAGTAGCCAGCATAGTGGTTAGCTCAGGCAGAGATTCAAACAAAAGCAGTAAATATTATATACGTTCTATTTTGAGATGGGTTCTTTTGGCAAACAATAAACAGTAAGCAATGATAATACCAAAAAATTGATGAAACCATTTAATTAATGAAACTAAAGGCAACAGAACTATTTCTGTTTCCAGTATTTAATAAGGCTACAGTACCTAATCCAGAATAATGGTATCAATACCAGGCCCCAAGTATCATACTTTCACAAGAAAATGGGAAAGGGAAATGGAAGGCGAAGGGGTTTTAATTCATGGCTAAGTGCAGGCCTATAACATCCCATCGAGTTTTGTAAGTCTCTTAGTCTTGACATATACTCAATGTACACAGTCAATTTTAACTTTCCAAAACCTTGAAGAGGTGGTACTTTTACAGGAGAAAAAGAAGAGAAGGCAGAAGAAAAGGACAAAGAAAATTACAGAGAAAATGGAGGACAACAGCAGGTCAAAGAGAAAATCACTTTTTATTTGCTGTAAACTGTAGCAATAATCATTAAACTACCAGAACACTTTACTATACCATCTTCTTTAGTTTGCTAGTTCACTGGCTATGTATAAACTGCATATGAAAATAAGTTCATAATCAAGATATTCTTCAAGCTACTCTGACTGCAGTATTTACATGTCTGCAGTGTTCCAGAAACACATCTCTGTGTATCACACAGTTTCATGCTATGTCCAACAGCAACAGAAAATAAAAATGCATTACATCTTTTGTTATAGTTGGTATCTTTTGGAAGGCTCAACTGTTTTTTGAGGAAAAAGGAATATCTTCATCTTTCAAGACCTCATATTATACTTATTCTAAGTGTGGTCAGCCTCAACCAAAACCACTGATTTCAAATTTTTTCCTTGTTTAAATAACTACTCATTTAAGACACAAGGAGGAATGTCAGAAGGGACGTGGATAAAAAGATGAAAAATTCAGGAAAAAAAAAAGAAAGCAAGGAAACAATAATAAATACAAATTAAGAGGAAATGAAGATAGAAAAACAACCCTTAATTGCTCTTTAGAGATGGTTTAACTTTCACACTAATTAAATCTGGACAAGGCCTCTGAATGCTAGAAATGCTCGGACTGCTCTGTGTGGGTTTTGCCATCTTGGATGCAACTGCAGCGTTGTCTTGCAATGACTGGAAATAGACTGAAAAACAGAGTACACTGTTATGCCTTTCCTGCCCTGTAAAGGCAATTAAACTGAATTCAATGTCCCAGAAAGGAAAGCAGCCACCCAGAAGGTCACTAAGGAGTCACGTTGCCTGGAAAAAGCAAAAGATAACTGAAGTAATGTTTAATGATTCTGCCTCTTCTCAATAACCTTAATACAAAGCAAGGGAGAAAACCCTGCATTTTAGGAATAACCTTCCACTTACAAAACATGACAGAAGAGATGATCTGTACTAAATAAGAGTTCTTCCTCAGCAAAAAAAGGGAATCCTAAACTTCCTGGCAGATTAAGAATTAGTTTGTGTTTGAAATTATTTCCGCTTGATTGAACAGCTAATGCATGGCTCTGCAGGGCCTTGCAAACACAAAGCTACTGCAAGATCCTAAAACATATTGAATTTAACCCAAATTTCTGGATGTCAGTGAAACAATTGAAAATTTGCATTGGTAAAAAGAAAGAAAGAAATGAAAAAATTACTTATATTAGAAAAGCCACATTCTGGCAGTATGCAATAACTATATAAAAATAACAGCTACCCCATATGCAAAGAGTATCACAGGGAGGAAAGGATGGCATACACTGCAATATGAAAATAGTTCACATTCATAGCAAAGATTAAAATAAGAAATATTTTACTTGTAGTAGATGAACAGTATAGAGACACATATAGCAATGCACAGAATATGCAGGAGATTTGCAAAGGCAGTTTAAAGCCTATTTTCCACATTTTTTCCGAGAATCAAGCTTCTCTAACAACATTCCTCCTCAGAAGTGCAGCAAGAAATACAGTACAAGGCTGCTGCAGCTTGCTAAACAGAGGTCCTTTCCGAGAATCTGCAAGAATGGAACAAATCAGATCTGCAATTTGAAGGGTTAAAAAACATATGGTCACCTCCATCCAGTTCACCTCTGGAGATTAGAAGGTGCCCCACAACTACAGAAGGAACCAGGATCCTCTTTTCTGTCCATTTTTCCCAGTTAGAAAAACAGCCACAATGAAGATATCAATGGGGAAGGAGGGAATCCTCAAAGCTAGACACTTTCCTTTCCATCTTAATTTTAAAATGGATCATAAGCTTAAAGTTCTTCCAAAGACACATTTAATGATGTGTAAATATTTAGCAAACCTTTGTCTTACAGATTTTACCACACTGGAGAAACACATATGAGAACTTCATGTTCTCTCATTTACTATATTCTCATCATGGAAACCAAGATAGGCATTGAATTTTATCAGCTCAAGAGATGAGATTGTCAAGTGAGATAATTTCTTAATTCCTTGAAAGTAAAATTACCTTTTACCACTTACACATTAGAGTGGAAACAGTAACAACAAACCTTCCCAAAACAGAACTCAATTAACAGAAGCACATTTCATCAACACAAAACTAGTGTGCATATAAATCATTTTTATAATAGCTGTTTCTTATAAGCCTTTTCTTTCAGAGGGGTCCTTTATCTGTCAGATAAGGAGCAGCTGGCATACTGAAATGCCTAAGGCTTTGTCAGGATTTCCTACCATCACAGTTCCTTTCTCACTAAAACAGATTCACAATTACAATAATTTCAAAGGACTTTAGCGTGGAGAATAATGCTGATAGCAAACTCCATTGCAGTAGAGCTATTAATTTGCCAGTTTATGTGCTAACAACAAGTAAGGGGTGAAGGCAAAAGAACAAATAAAATCATTTCAATGAAGTCTAATGTTGAAACTAGTCATGATCTAGACATTTATGAAGGAACTACACACAGAGTGTAGATTTCCACGTAACTGATTGTATGTTTTTAAAGTTTATTTTAGTTGCATTTAACTAAGACAAAGTATTCAATGTACATGTAACAGTAAGGAACTACCTAAGTTAAACTCAAACCTATGACGCCCTGACCAGAACAAAGAGAGATATGAGAGCCGCCTCCCTTGGCACAGACACCAGTAAGTAAGGGACTGAATCTCATGTGCACTCATTTTTAAGCAAAGCCCACAAGAAAAACTACATATTCATATTATGATTTTTTTCATAGAAAGAATCTGAAACAAGAAAAAAACATTTATGTGTGCTGGTTTTGGCTGGGGTAAAGTTAATTTTCTTCACAGTGGCTAGTGTTTTGGATCTGTGAGACTGCAACATTGCAGAAAACTTCCCGCATTTCTCCTTGATGTTATATGTCCTCTGAACTATAGTATCCTACTAAAGGTTAATGAAATTTAAAAAACAAACAAGGAAGCAAAAATTACAGCCAATAAATCTACGTATTCACTAATGCTGCAGAAGGATCTCTGAGGAACCCCAAGACATATGCTGTTTTTCCCATGTACCTCTTCCCTCGCCAAATGTTTATCCATACCACTTGCTGAGTATGTTTAAGGCAGACAGAATATTGCTCATGTTTTTATGAGATACCTCATCTATCATAAATCTCAAATTATGGGGTCTCCCACATTGCACTTAATTAGTTACAGGTCAACACAAGGTAAGGTGAAATTTTGTCAGCCATTTAAAATAATGATTTAAAATTCTTATTAAATCTTCATAAGGATCATATGTAAAGAATACACAGCATTCAGATTAGTGAATGAAGAATAACACAAAGTTTCCTGTTCTCATTGTGCATTTATTTATGAATCTCATATTTGATTAAACCCTATTTTAGATTTGTACTGAGATGCCCCTTTATTCCACCTCCTTTCATATTTTACGGCAGCATTAGAGATTAAGTAAGTTATCTTGAAAAATTCCAATGACCTGACACAGGAAAACATCCTTTTTGCATTAATCATTAGGGTCATGGAATCATAAAATGGTTTGGGTTTGAAGAGATCTTAAAGATCATCTAGTTACAGCCCTCCTGCCATGGACAGGGACAACTTCCACTATACCAGGTTCCAACCTGGCCTTGAACACCTCCAGGGATGGGACACCCACCATCTCTCTGAACAACCTATTCCAGTACCTTACCACCCTCATTGTATAGAATTTCTTCCTAATATATCATCTAAACCTCCTGTCTTTCAGTCACGCAAGGCAGCAAAAAAAACATGGAAATTTTTAACTCCTGCACATCAGACCAACAGAAACTATTCTGTTCCACTGTCATCAAGAAAAACAAAACTCATAGCTGGATATATAGCACAAAGTAGGTTATAGGCTAGCTGCATACTTACTATACACAACAACCTTTGAAATTAATCAAAAAACAGCAAGAAAGAAAGTGCATGGTAAAACTCCTTTCTTTACTTAAACATTAGTGCTGATGTGACTCAGGTTTTACACCATAATATTCTTAGACAGAGAATAAGCAATTAAAAAAATAAGATGGCCAAATACAGAACCTTACTGTCAGCACCTGGAAGAGAACAACAGTATATACAAAAGCAAGCAAAAAACCAGAAAAAAATATTTGAAAATTTCCTTATCTAATATCAAAAAGATGCAGCTACCTTAAGCAAACTTCCAGAGAGTTTTCTAACACACTATTGGAAGTATAGTTCTCGCAGTTACTGATTACACGTCAACAGGTGGCTTCAACCAGTACAAACAAGACTGGCAGTGGTTCAGGACATTTCTCAGAAACTAAATTTTCCCCTCTCATGCAAAATTAGTGGTACAAAATGGCTGAGGTACAGACCTAGACTTTACACATCAGGTTATGACACAAACATTACAATGGAAAATGCAAAGGTAGATGAGGAGACAAAAAAGATATCATGCCTTTACTCTTTGTGTTGTGCCAGAAAACATGTAAGTATAATGTTATATGTGATAAGACAAAATATAAAACATTTTGGAAGACTCCTCCTTCCAATGTTACTAAATATGAACTTAAAGAAATTTTTGTCAAAGCTAAAGAAATGGTAGCACATCACACAAGAACCTATGGAGTATTTAGGGCTTCAGACATACAACATTCCATCTCACTGACAGAAATATACAGCTGCCAAATGGTAATTTCTGTACAACCTGACTATATAGAGGGACTGTGCCTGAATAATTCTTGTTGTGTGGAGGCCCATGAAATCTAGTAGCTACTAAAATTTGCATTAGAACACTACTACCAGTCAATTCCTTTCTGCCCAAACTATTTGTCAATACTGAGCTGAATGAATAAATACACTGAAAAACTTGTTACTGTGCTGGGGGGAAATTAAGTTCCCCACAAATGTAGCTGAGCTCGAGCACAGAGCATTTTCAAATTTTTTTCTGCATGTATGCAAGTATTTCATAATCCTATGTGAATCTAAACATTCAAGTGAATTTAAAACTTTTTGAATCATTAGTATTAGCACATCCTATTACTGAATCAGAGGAAATAAAAGTGTATTCTTACAAAACAGATCATTTCACTGTTTCCTAAATTCCTTACTGGCAAAGAAAGAAAATTAATACGTTTAATACAGTCACTGTGAGTAGCTTTCTGCTACCATTTCTCCCAGAAGTCATATATACATAATGTATGTTCTATTAATTAACTAGTCTCTTCATTTCTTCCGTTTTTAGGCTTTCTACCTGCTGCTAATTTCAGTCCTCAGTTGTGTCAGCTGAGACTGGGATACTTTGCAAATGAATATAAGTAATTTCTTCTTCTGAGTCTAAACCTTTTCATAGTAAACTGAATATTTTTAGATAAAACACAATTTAACCTCGTGCCTTCAGAAATTGTTTTGTGTTCTACATTAATATAGCCTATTTTTAGAAAAATTAATCAAAAGGTTCCTGATTCCAAATGGTTGCAAAAATAACCTGTAGGAGCAGAAGATACACTTATGCATAATCTACATGGATCCTACGCATGTATATTATATATATACATATGTCAACTTGAAGAAAACAAATGTTTTATACTAGTCTGCACCTCAGGAAGTCTCCCATCGTCCCTATATCACCACTGGTGAAACAGGGCTTAAATCAGTCCAGCAGTTTAATTACCTGGGAAGCATCATCTCCTCAGACGGTAAGATTGATGCAGAAATAGACAACAGGTTAGCAAAGGCATACAGAGCTTTTGGTAAACTCCATAAAAGAGTGTGGCAAAACAAACACCTGAAGAAAAGTACAAAGATCAGTGTTTACAGAGCCATTGTGCTGTCTACTCTTTTATATGGATCTGAATCATGGGTCATTTACCGGCACCACTTGCGTCTCTTAGAACGCTTCCATCAGCGCTGCCTCCGTACAATCCTAAACATCCACTGGACTGACTATGTGACCAACACATCTGTCCTTGAACAGGCAGCAGTCACGAGCATTGAGGCCATGCTGCTGAGAACACAGCTGTGCTGGGCAGGGCACGTCTCCAGGATGCAGGACTACCGCCTCCCTAAGATCGTGCTCTATGGGGAACTTGCCACTGGCTGCCACAAGAGAGGAGCCCCGAAGAGGAGATCCAAGGACTCCCTGAAACAATCCCTCAGCCTTGGCCATATTGATCACCACCATTGGTCTACCCTGGCCTCCAATCAGGAGGTCTGGAGACACACCATCTATAACGCTGCTGCTGCTTTTGAGAACACACGCAGGATCACTCTCGAGGAGAAAAGACAACGCAGAAAGAATCGCGTCTTGTCGATATCACCTGGGAGGTCTTTCTGCTGTGCCTTCTGCAACCGGACTTGTCTATCTCACATTGGCCTTTTTAGCCATCAGCGCGCTTGTAGCAAAAAGAACGAAGCCTAACCATGAAGATGATAATATATATATATATATATCTTTATTTTGTTTCCTTAAATAGTTATTGTAACAACTGAGGTCCTTCTTTTGTGACAAAAGGCGAAGTTACAATAGTAGCAAACTGAAGTTACCACTCACATAGTTAATACTGTGTACTAAATCTAAGACTGATAACAACTGCTCTGTTAGCATCTCATTCTCTTCTTCTGCTTTCTTAAGACTTTTTCACAATGATATATAACCTTATGATAGCTGCATTTTATTTCACATTTTTTGCTATGCTTAATTTTTCAGTTTTTAGAGTTCTGATTAGGATCCTATCAGAGAAGCCACACGTGTTCTCTGACGAGACCATCACATGGACTACCATCTCTCACATCTAGGCAACATCTATATGCAGGTAGAGTTGTCTTGAATAAATCAAAACACTCTCAGTGCATCTGTTGGCAGAGCTCCTGAATATGTTGCTATGCAAAAACGAATAATAAGAATAAGCTCTTATGCTTTGTTGGATGGAAGCAGTGATACAGATGTAGTTTAGATGATATATTCAGATTGTTCTACTTTTGATACACACTGAAAGGGAGAAAGACATTAAGATAATTTCTAGTTATTACGTTCCTCTTTTTTTCCTTCACTAACATTGCTGAGGAGCACAACCTACTTTTTTTTGACATTCTTGAAATTAATTTTTACTGGATAACACTCCAGCAAGCTAAACACTAGTTTACACTGAATATGCCAGGTATATATGCGTATGAGCATATGCACATGTATGCACATATTGCAATATATACTATTGCTGCATTAATGGAAGAGGGTTTTTTAAGCATTCCAATCAACATCCAGCATTAACTGGTTTTGTGTATTGGAAAATCTCTTAAGCCTCAACACATTTTAAAGTAAATACATTATCTCCTACACAAAAGGCACTTTGTGCATATGCTTAAAGCAGAAAACAACTGTATACAGAGAATATGTGAATGAATTCTCTTTCATTTCATAAACAAACTAGATAGTTAGAAAAGAACTAAGACAAAACTTCCAAGGAACCAAGTCAAGTCTCCAGAATTGCCAAATAACTGTCTTCTACTGCTGGATATAAACTTCTGGGTACCAAGGTACTTCTGTTTACTGAAGAGGTCTTCACAGTTCTCCTGTTTAATGGAAATCATAAACCAGACTGTAACCTTTCAAAAAGATAATGAAAATAACAAATTCCTATTTCGAGGATACTTTTTAAAATAATGATTGTAATTTTCCCCCTGTATGTGGCAGGAGCTCACTGCTTAGCCCACAGTACTTGAATTTGCTGGACTATAAAAATTGCCTCAAACCCATTCTCTGCATTGTCAGGAGGCAAGGGGCACCAGGAAGAAGGAAAACTGGAAAAGACCCAGAAGCAAATTGCTATAGTCCATTTTTTATTGCCATCTCCCAGTGGCTGATTATGTCTTGCTGAAAACAAAAGCCTGAACATAGAGGTCTTCCCACTAGATCTCCCACCCCACACAACGCCTGCTGGCCTCTGGCTCTAGCCTTGAGCAGTAAGGAACTGATGCGCAGAAGTAAGCTTTTGATATGCAGCACAGCACACTATGAGATGGTGAAATGAAGATAGGATGGAGTTTTTAGGACCCTGGATAGGATGTGAAGGGCCTATTTGCACCAAGAAACAAATGAAGCATAGTCTAAATTACTGTATGGTAGCACAAGAAAACCTTTGGACATTTCAAAATCAGTTTAAAAACCTGAGCTCTCAACACTTACATTTCATTTGCTTGAAGATGGACTTGTTAGGCTCAAGCCAGTGCTGGAAAGGCAAAGCAGAGAGCAGAGGTTAATACAGATGGCAGTAGACAAAAACATCCCTTTTTGTTACCAAAAATGAGAAGTAGGATTTTTGTTTCACTGAGACATACATACAAGGGAAAAGCATGTCTATACAACAGTTGCATTGTATAAGCACACTTGATGTTACCACTGCCTATAAGATGGATGTAGTTGATGTAGAAATAAGACAAATATTTCATAAACACATTTAAAGGTGACAGGCTCTAGTGCTAAGTTAGCAGCAGACATGTCAGTCTTGCACTTTAAGCCATTTTTTTCTAGAAAAACAATCATATTGGACAGTAGGACAAACTATTCCGAAATTTTAACAGGATCTGTTCATTAATGCTGTCTTCTATAGTTCTTATAACTAAAGCATGTATGAGTACTGTATTCTCAGTCAAAACCCTCAGGACACAAGCAATTGTTCTCTTCTAGCAATAACTAAAAATCTGAAGAGAAAAAAGAGTGCATTTTTCCAGGAAATGTTTACAATACGAACAGCCAATGCTCAACAGAGAGATATGGATCCTTACTGGTAGGTGCATAACTTTCCAGGAAAGAGTGATAGCAGGAATAGTTTGGGGTTTTTTTTTGTTTGTTTGTTGCCTTTTTTTTTATTATTTTATTTTATTTTCCTGGAAAATAAACTCAGATTCTTCTGTAATGAAAAGCTAGGCTCACATTCTAGCTAAGAGCCTTAGCACATCCCCTGTTAACAGTAGCTGAACCATTCAGGAAGATGTTTTGATAAACAAAAGAACATGCTGATATTCAGGTGCCACTTCTGACCACAGCCAATAGCTTTTGTACTAGGATTTTTCCTGTAAGCAAAAAATCTTCACGCTAAAATGAGATTTGTGCTGCAGAAGCAGCTGGTTAAAAAGCATAGTATTCAGTTTTAATAAGCATAATCAAAACTGAAAGGCCTTGCACTGAGGGGTTTCATTTTTAACCCTTTCATACTAGCTCTAAGGCCCTATGGTTAACTGCAAAAAGAAAATCTAATATTTATTAAACCATAGTTAATACTTAAAATATCCTACATCAGCTACCATTTTTCCTCATAACTTATAATAATTCTTCTACAAAGAAAAGCCAAGGGGATGTATTTTTTAGAGTTGTAGGAGCTGCCAGAAAATTATTATTTTTTAAATTATGACATCTCAAAAATTCAGTCTAAGTCAGGAAGACTATAAATTAATTTTCTGAAGTAGAACTTCCAATAGGACAAATACCTTGGAAAGAACATTTTCAAATCTCTGCAGTTTATATGGTTGCTTAGAAATTCCTGCATAGAGTTTACAGAAGTATTGGAGATAAGCACTGCAATATACTTCTGTTTGAAGCTCACTTATCACTGAGAGACTGATATGGAACCCTGGTATTCAGAAGACAAACATCACAAAAAAAACCCAACCCCAAACTTCAAACAACAACCATAACAAAAAACCCACCTTATACCATTTCTTTACCTATTTCCTTTTCCCAGTATCTGTCCTTTTTTTGTAGAAAAGATGAAAGAAACAGAATTGAGACAGCAATGACTGTTTCACTGATCTACTAGAAATATCTAGCTCATTTCAGTCCCTTTTTAGATCTTACATATACATTATTGATATATTTCATTCTGAATAATGGGTAGTGAGTGTTGATCATAAAAAGGTAAAGGCAATCTCATTTAAGAAACCCTATACAGTCTGCACAGCTTTATAGATAAATAATCCAGAATGAATTCACACAAGACACATAGGTATGAAAATCTTCTTTCCTTAACCTCTTCACACACACTCTCCACCTTCACCAGGCTCATGGTAGTCCTAGTTGAAGATTCAGACAGCAAAGAGTCAATTGGACAGTGAGTCACGCTGTACTGCTCCCAGGAAACTGAGAGTTTAGAGGTGTGTACTATTTTCGTATAGCAGAAGCACAACACAATTTTTTTGATATTTTTTGAAAGACCAATCTGAAATATTAGCAGAGACCAGGTCAGCATTTAGGGCAGTTTGAAAAAGTCAGTTACCTATTCTAGAAAGTCAGAAGTAAAAAAAAACAATTGGCAAATATGAAACCCTCACAATTCACAATATGAACAATAAAAGAGGGGAGACATGGATGAAATTCCCCATTCAGTGCACCAAACCTCCAGGAACACGGATTTACCTAACATGTCCAAAACCATGTTTCACTAAGACCTGACTTTCATGGGTTAAAAACCAATTGAAAAACACTGAACAATTAAGAAGCGAACTTGCACCTGGAGGTCATGGTACTCACAGGCACTTTTCAGAAGCTCAGATTTCTGTGGTGACCTTGTGGTGGTGAAAGATTGCAAATGTGTACACAATTTAGCTGAATCTTCCAGAACACTGATCAGTTACTTTATAATTTGTGGAGATTTTCAAAGACACAGCAATTAGGTGCTTAATGCCCTCTGACTGTCAAGGGAAGATAAACGTCTACTCATTGCTAATACTTCTGAAAATAGCCACACCTATATTTGTTTGAATATTTCTATTTGAGTTTTAGGAAAGATTTTCCCCTGAGTACCTACTTATCTTCCAGCCTTACAGCATTGACTATTAATAATTAATACCTGTGCTTTATCTCTGCTATAGAGTATCCAGGCTATATTTATTTCAAGATTAATTAGCTGTTATAGCTAGGACAAGATTAAGGTTCCCATAAATCAATCAAAGGGTTTCTGCAGAAACTTTAAATTGGAAAGCATGTAGTTTTGTAAAATGCTTTTCTCATGTAGCAATACTTTTTTTAAAAATTTTCCCAAAAAAGTAAAAAAAAAAAAAAAAAAAATCTGATGAAAGGAAAATAAAACATTTTGAGTTAGCTTGTCAGGACAAATTTTAGAAGCATTTTACATATTCGACAGCAAAGAAATGTCATTAATACTGTATGTCACTCTGCCCTATGGGAACAGTCCATAGGTGTTTTCCACTCTTTATTGGAAGACTAACACTTCATAAAACAAATAAACCAAACAAACAAAGCCAGTCAGATGTTAAATTAGAGCTAGATACAAGAATCTTTTATTCCTCTACTAGCAGTAAAATGTGCAAATTAGGAGAGAAACAAACCTTCAAAGCTTTTATACAGTTTCATTTTTGCCTCACATATTTGACAATGTAGTCCATAAAGGTTGTTTTAATTGGATGATGACCTACAATCTCAAACCAGCTTGGCATTATACGTGATTTTATTTAACAATTATCAGAAATAATTTCTGCAGGGGCTGAACCTCTTGTTTCATTCAGAACATGTTAGCAATGTAGTTGTTGCCCAATGGGGAAGAAAAGACTTTAATCCTAATCCAGCTAACACATATTACCAAGGATCCTCAGAGGACAATCAAGTTCAGCACTACTAATTTCTAATCTTTTTGCCAAAAGAGGTTTGGGTGGCCACTGGGTATCTCAATGGTCAAGATAGATGTCTTCACAGAAGCAGCAGGGAAAGAGAAAGATACTCAGAGATCCTGAAGGTCAGTCACAGGATAGCTAACGAGTATTGGTGGTTCAAGTGGCAATGGTGAGTAAGCAAACTATTATGGTTATCACTTTTGGTGCTGGAATCCTAAAATATGCTGAGAATGGCTTTCTGACTAAGATTTCATTGCGATTGCATGCTGTGTTTCAGACTGGTGCTATCTTTACTTTGTAAATAGAGCCTTCACCTCTGATCAGCCTTTAAGTGGCACTGAGTAGTCATTAGCGAGGCCAGGTGTGTTCTTGCTTACCCACAAATTCTGAGCAGCTGATGTGGTATCAGCTTTCAGAGCAAATGGTGAGCAAGCTCCTGGTGAGCAAGGTCACCCTGCAAGGGTAAAAGCACCATTTTGGAAAGTCAATTTAACTCCACGAACACTGATGTGCTTTTAGAAAAGGGATTTCAGCCAACAACTTGTTTCAAACAAAGCCATTCACTGAGAAGCTCTGAGAGGACTGAGCATGGTCTCAACACAGCACAGGGTTAAGGGTTTAGGAAGAAGAAGTGGTGAGGAAAGACCACATAGTCATAGAATCATAGCATGGCCTGGGTTGGAAAGGACCTTAAACATCATCTAGCTCCAACTCCCATGCCAGGAATACCTTTCGTTAGACCAGGTTATTTAGACCTCCATCCAACCTGGCCTTGAACACTTCCAGGGATTGGGCATTCACAGCTTCTCTGGGCAACCTGTGTCCTTGTCTCACCACCCTCAAAGTCTCTTCCTTCCTCCAAACCAAGAGGCTTTTTTAGTCCCCTGAGAAACAGTTACAAAGGGGCAATCAAAAGTGGCCAAATATTGTGAATATTTAAATCTCCCTTGACAAGCAATACTTAGCCAAATCCTAAGATGTCCACACAGTAAAACTGAACCAGAAGAACCTGCAGATGTCACAAGAATATTCTAGCCAGATCTATTTCAGATCCAGGACTGGACTTGAAAACTTTATTTAATGGACAGAAGATAGCAGAAGAATGGAGGTATGCATGGAATCACTACTAGAAAAGTAATAAAATTAACTTTATTTAAACTTCAACCCTATATTAATCTTGAAAGTTAATACCTAACCTCTTCCTTCAATGGAGAACATAATGAAAGTAAATTTTCTTTAGCCTCAAGGCAATGACTTGGACTAGGTTACAGCCTGGGAAAACAAAATAAACCAAAACAAAAACATAACAACAAAAACAAACCAAACAAACAAAAAAACAAACAAACAAACAAAAGCCACAAGTAACAGTATCCAAAGCTGATGGAAGCTTACAGAGGGAAATGAATTGGGTGCCCAGTCTATACAGACACAACAGATGCCAAACGACCCAGGGCACACTGCATGTCTCCTTATTCATGCACTGAGCCTGACACCATTTTTTCATGGTTTTAAGAACCCTTATAAGAACCTTTATACTAAGAATATCAATGTTGTTCTCATGTAGCAACAGAGCTGCTCCTCTGTACTGTTCCCAAAATCAGGG